TCCAAAGGATATCTCTTGGAACCTTATCGTAAGCTTTTTCTAAATCAATAAAAATCAAATGTAGATTCTCCTTATTATCTCTGAACTTCTTCATCAAACCCCTCAATAAATGTATAACTTCGATAGTAGTTCTGCCCGACATAAATTCAAATTGATTATGAGAAATCTTTGTGATGCGTCTTAACCTATGTTCAATTACCCTCTCCCACAACTTTAAAACATGACACATCAACTTAATTCCTCTATAATTTGCACACTCTTGTGCATGCCCTTTATTCTTAAAAATGGAGACCAAAATACCCTTTCTTCCACTCTTCAGGCATCTTTTTAGTTTTTAAAATAATATTAAAGAGTTTAGTAAGCCAAACTCCCAAATCTCACAAATATTTCCACACTTCAATTGGGATATCATCAGGTCCTACAAACTTTCCACCCTTGGTTTTCTTTAAAGCCTCATCAACTTCTTTTTTACTAATGCGACAGTAAAAATGAAACTTTTTATTATTATTCACGATATTAAGATCATTAAGGTCGATCGTATTTTTAGAAACTTTATTAAAAGTTTATCAAAGTAACTCACCCACCTATGTTGAATATCTTTTTCTAAGAAAAGTACTTTTTTATTTTCATCTTTAATACACTTTACTTGAGTTAAATCTTTACTTTTCTTTTCTCTTTGTTTGGCTAGTTTATACATATATTTCTCACCATCCTTAGTATCTAATATATTATAAAGATCATTAAAAGCAAAACTTTTAGCGTCACAGATTGTTATTTTAGACTCTCTGCGGGCCGTTTGATATTGATATTTTTCTGCCGTTTGATATTTTTCTCAGCTCTCTAAGCTTTTACATTTAAACCAATTTTTATAACATAACTTCTTATATTTTATCTTTTCTTGCATATTATCATTCCACCACAAATTATTTTTATTTAAACCATATATTCTCACAAAAAAAAAAAAAAGAGAAGAAGGAAAACTTGTCTTAAGAATCTAGGTTAGTAGTATTTTGAGCCATAATTCATTGTAAACTGAATGTTTATAGAATCTTATGATGTAAATGGATTAATAAATAGTACTTAATATTATTCTTAATTAATTATTGATTTGATGGGAAGTTTTATGTCTATATCATGTAAGTGAAGGTTAATAGTTTATATGAGAGTTGTGTTCAGTTAATAAGAGTAGCTAAAATCGTACTAAGAGGAAGGGAGTAAGATTGATATTGTATGAAAGCTCATAGGTGTTATGAAACATTTTAATTGATGGGATTAAGTTTTATGGCTATATCCATGGTATATTGATAGCCATGAAAAGAAAGTAGTAACATCATCTATGTGCCCTATGTTCGGAGCCTACTTGCTATCCTTTTCTAATGCTCTCACTCACAATTTTCTTATTGTAGTGACTACGGAGGAGCGATTCATTTTGTTTCATTAGGAAAAAAAAAACTTGGCTTGTTGAAGATGGCAGATAAACCCAGTCGAGCGCTGGTGATATACGGTGATGGCCTTGCTTCTGCGGTTTTACCATCGCACAATAACCTCCATTCCTTTGCTTCTCGGGCTGCTTGTGGCTTTCTATCTGTAAGAGCTTCACCTCCTTCAGGTATTTTTATTTCCTTAAAATCTATTTTGTTGTTATGCTTTCTTTTTAACCTTTATTCTTTAGTTTTAATTGTTGAGAATATTTTGAAAGAATTGGAGGCTTGCATGCTTTTTCTTATCTTTTTTTTTTTTCAATCCCAATCCTTAGCAAGAAGTTATTATTCATGATGAAATAACTAATTTAAAGGAAATAATAAATTTAATGATTTGTTATTAGAAAAACAAAGAAGCTTGTAGTGGAAGTGAATACTATTAACCATGACTCATTTTTGCACTTCTATTTGTTTGTGCTTGCAATTATTTTAAATATACAAAATAGGAGAATGGTTGAGTCACATGGGGACATTTTTCATAATTGATATAAATTAAAATATATGAATGCAAAATTTTATCTATTTTTTTAAAGTTTCAATCGGTGTAGAAAAATATGACAATTGTGTGCCTTTTATTTCTCATTTGATAAAGTCACACCATACCGTTGTGTTCTTGCAAAGCGATTGAAGATGTCTGGCAAGATCAATTTTTTTTCATTTAGATTCATGAGGGATATTGATATCTAATTTTCTGTGTGAATGGGCTCACATGATATGTTGCTCGATTGATATGATGCAATCAATCAATATTGAGTTGCAATCTAAAGGGACTATAATTTTACTTTCCCAAGACAATGGTATTATCCGTAAAAGGTATTACTATGTTTTTTTTAATAAAATAAAACCTGATAACCATACATTGAAATAGCTAACCGAGAGTTAAGACGAAATCAAAATGCAACATCAAAGATACCTAGATATTAAACTATAAATGTTCATCCAATGGAAGAGGACAACTCAAATGGTCTTCATTTAATGAATCTGGTGTGATGAAGTTTGGTGAACTTAGGAGAGTAATAATATATATTTTTTCTTATTTCTATCTCTCCTAACAAATAATATTTGAAACCTTTATCCACCTGAGCTTCTTTGCTAGGAGTACTAATGTCAGAGTTATAGGATTGTAAATAAGGATCATCATCCTCCTTAGCAACTGGGTAATTGTGAGGAGCTAATAAATCAGGTAGATCTTTATCAATGATCTTGCATACGGAAGAGTGCTAACCACCTCATTTTTACCAAGTAGAACCACTCAAGTCAAGATTTAAATTTGGTTATATATTAAATTATAAGTAGTTAGAACTGCAATTCACGACGCTTGATTTTAGATTTTGATTTATAGAATGCTCTTCTAAAAGTTTATTGCTAGGATCAATAATAATTGATTTCTTAGTTCTATGTGAGGCTTAAACATCCCTTGTAGTTATGACCAAATTTTTGCCAAAAAAGGGCAAAGAAAAAAAAAAGGAAGGTATTCCTTCAAGTTCTGCCTCCTACCAATATCCATAAGAGGTATAATCAATCAAAATCTCTTTTTAAAAAAGTAAACTCACTTCTATTTTAAACATAACCTTAACCATAGACAATCTAGAGACTCTCTTAGTAGCTGCATTTACTTGTATTGATTTCTTAAAAATAGATTTAAGAAAGCACGAAGCGGTTTGACTGAAGTAATGAATTAGCCAAAGAAATGAAACCCAAATCGGAGTAACAGATGGTTCCTCGACATTATCAAAGTGAGAAGACCACATAGTCATCATATTTGAAAAATCATTCACATGGTTGGTCTCATTGGAAGATGTCTAAAATAATTAGATAAATGCATGTTATCTCCTAAGGGTGTTACAAGCACTTTAGATTATGTAGTGTTTCAGCCAATCCAATGGATGGATATGATAATGTGCTTGGACGCTGTAAAAGCAAGGATTATCTTCTAAATGGAGAGAAAATTTGAGAATTTTATTCTATTACACCTTTTAAGATTTCTCCTTGCAGTCTTCTCTTCGGTGTATGGTCCATCTTTTTTCTCGCTCCTTGTTCAATCTCTCTTGATTTGTTCTCTTGCTTTCCTTCCATCAAATTGGTTTAAAGAGATGAAGGAGAGAGTGGAGCCTTTTTGTTTGATATGAAAAGGAGAGGGAGAGAGAGGGTTGATGGCCGAATAGGGAGAGGGGATGTCTAATTGGTGACTAGTGAATGCCTTATTAATTTATGCATGAAAATTATTACCTATACAAATCAATCCATATTTATAATTACGAGTAAAATGAAAGAATAAATGTATAAGATAGTCTCAAATTCAAAATCCAAGGGGCCGTTTGAGATCGCTTTTATTTTTTTATTAATTATTTAATTTTGATTATTTATATTTTGATTTGAAATAACATATATTTGACTATTTGATCTAAGTATGATTATTTTTTAAAACACTCAAAATACTTCGAAACACTTAACAGCTATTTCAAGTGTTTTTAAAAACATGTTGATTTGTTTTTAAAATTAAAAAATAAAAACATGTAAAAAATTAATTAAACATATGTTAAAAAATAAAGGAAAAAAAATTTTAAAAACAAAACTGATCCCAAACAAGCCCTAACTAACTTGGAATTATGGATACAATTCTAAAAACTAGGAATCAAGATAAAAATTTTATAGAAATTTAAAACTCTCCTTATGTAATGGCTTAGTGTGAAAGGGAGTGAAATGGAAAGTATAAGTGGTGCGCAGAATGGTATCATGCTGTTTTGATTTAGTTTTTAGAGAATTTAGAATAAAATTATTTTTTGTGCAGTAAAATACAAATTTATTTGTATATGCAATTGTTTTAATATGTGGTGGCAACGAAGAGATGCTAAGAACGTTATTATGCTATTTTAGCTATCATAAATGCTGTAGGACAGGTTTAGCTCTCCCATTATGGTTCAGTCGGGGAATTAGAAGCAATTTTTGCCCATAATGAAATATGTTGCATGTCAGAGAAGCAATATTTCTCGTCATAAAGGACTGATATACTATAATGGGAGTATGCGTGGTTCTCACTTAAACCAATACCAAATTAGTGGGTTCTAAAAATTCTGGAATAATTTGGTCTAATTTAATGTGAAACCGATCAAAGGTGGGGCAAGAAGAGCTGTTCAGTTTTCTCTAGTGTAAAATGGAGGTCTTATGTTCGGTACATAATTTCTCTAGAGTATGCATCAACTTTCTTCCAATGCTGCATTAGCAGGAACTCCTTATGCTGTAGCTGTCTTTATTTTCTTAATGCAAAACCAGGATTATCTAAACCATAAATTTTAGATTAAAGTACTTATTTTCAACGCTGATTGATTAGCTAAAATTAATTTTTGTTTTGTTTGATGATATATTTTGAACTAGTTATGCATATTATTTTAGTTTATTAGTTTTATATAGAGCATATCTATTGATGAATGGATAGTGATTATTTTATATATCTAAATATTATTTTTCTATGTATGAATTGAAAACACTTCTAAGCTAAAAATCCAATCAAAGGAATTACTCCAAAAAGGCTTGTGGTTGAATAAAACGTTAAATGCGGATAGATCCACACCCAAATTAGCTAGTTCCTCACTTATTAGATTTGTTGGTGGACTTTAATGGGGTAAATAGAATGCATTGAGTGTGTACAAACCCACTAGAGCCCAGTGGATGCATCCAATACAAAATCCACAACTTAGCGATGGAGGTGAGCTCAGGTCAAAATTATGTTTGGTTTATTGTTTTGCATAGTTGAAGTAATTTTTTCAGCAGTTTTATTTGTTTCTCCATTCTTTTTAATTAAGTTGAATTTTTGCTTAAAAGAAATGCGAGATAAAAATGAGCTGTTCTTACTTTGATTTTTCATGCCATTTATTTGAATTCCAGAAACTGAAGATGAAAGAATTTGTAGAGATTTGGCTCAATTGTTGGATGCTTATGACTTTTACTTGTCAGATGTAAGCCAATTGTCTTAAATATCTTTGTCTACAATATGAGGGCCTGTCGTGTAAGTGTAGTAGCTTATTAGAATCTTCAATTGCACAGAAACGTGGTGAAGCTGAAGCAGCAGTTTTTCAAACATTATCGGAGAGGTTGAAGAAGGAATATCTTTTCTATTAGTAAATTAATTATAAATTACACTGAAAATATTTTACTTCATTGACTGTTTGGATAACCATATTAACATAATTTTCAAAATTCAGATTCATGGGATTAAGAGCTGCTATGATCACTTCTTGTCCAAGTGTCCAATCTTTGGGTAGAAAACTTGGATTTCACATACTGCATGACAGTGAACTTGTTATTGACGATGGTTTCAACTATAAAATGCTTGAACAAGTTCCTGACAGCTTGGATATTGCTTCAAAATTCCTGCATCTTTTAGGATTTTCAGGAAATGATGTTCTAGAGAAGTATGATTTTGATCTAGTTTTTTTGCATATCAAGACATGTGAGAAGTTTAGAGAGAAAAAGGAAATGCTAGTGTCTAACATGGATGTCAACATGCTTAACGGCTTCGTTGGAAAAATTCTGGAAAAATCTCATTCTGGCTCTGCTATTGGTTCTCGTCTGCATTTCTCAATCATTTTAAGTTATGGATACGTTTCTGAGGATGATAAGCTTTGTTCTTTACTTTCAAGGCCCTCAACAGAAACTAATTCTGATTTATGTTTACTTTGTCCATGCCAAAGTTACACTATGAAAGGAGGCCATAAACTAGACAACATCAGGTAAAAATTGTTTATCATCTCAATGTTTTAATTATTTTAAACTCAACTATTATATAAACATTAATTTGCATTCTGCAGGCATCACCATCCAATGCTAATTGGTCAGCTGCAAGAGGGCTTAACTCGTAGAGATACAGCGACAACATTTTTCTTCGAAGATTTTAAGAAGGTATTTACGAATTGTTGTATATATCAGATTCAAGTTATTGAATTTTTATTAAATGATTAATTTTCTTGTTAGTGCTATTTGCTTTATGTGCCTACCTGTTTGCGATCTTGATGGACATGTTATAATTTTCTGGTAATTCTTGAAATTTCACATGTTTTTTCTTCCTATAAAAATATTCTGAATGATTCCCACTCGTATACTTTGTTCTGGAGATCTTTTATTTTAATAAAGTGAAAGAAAATCTCAACGTACCAAGATTTGGAGTAAATTTACTGGCTGTACTTTATTGCTCATTTGGTTGATTAACTATAAAAAAAAAACACTTTTAGAAAAGAATAATGCAATTTTATGCAAATGAGCCTAGCGAATGTCGTGGACTTGCGTAACTAACAAAATTATGATGTTTTGGTGTTTTTCTTTTGAGGGTATTTTTCCAAGTTAGTTTAGTTCACTTAAGCCACCCCATTGACAACTTTCTGATGTAGTTGATTTTGTTATCATCGATTTTGAATAAAAATAAAATCATCCCAATTGAAAGTTTTTGAACGAATTTTGAAGGAGTATGTAGAGTTTAATATTAATTGTGATTTTCTTACATCCTACCAAATGATGGATTTGAGAAAGTTTACCATTTTTAAAACACATGTTCTTACTTCAATCAAACGAATGCTCCAAAAATGGTATAGTTGTATTCATATGTTCTGTTGATTTTTATATAATCCCACTTTTTTAATGAGTTGCTTATACATTTATGAGCAAAGATAATAATGCGTATGTGCCTTATTATATTTGATTGCGCTTGGTTGTGATAACATAAAAATTTATATTTAGTGAGAATCTCAGGTTCCCTGACTGCAATTCACCAAGCTTGTTTTAAAATAAAGAGAAAGAAAAAATGTGTTACAATAATGCTTTAGTCCAAGGATTAGTTTTGTGGAAGGAGAACGGTAAAAGAGAACAAGAATAATGGCGAGTAGATTTAAAGACTACTGTGGCTATTTACTGGTAGCCGAACATGTTAGGTTTTTACTCCAATTACTTTTTTGTTACAACTTGCACATAATATTCTCAGAACAGGATTCCTCCACTATCTTTTGATAGGGGAATCCTTATGAGGTTTGTGCTTGTTCAAGTAATCCTTGAGTTCTCTCCATACACTTAAAAATTTTTAATTTAAGTTAGCACGACTATTTCAGCCAATATGAAGCAATTGAAACTGTTTTATTATTTTTTAGTTCTTCAATTTATGTCATCAGGCCTATCCATTAAAAGGAGTCATTGTAATTACCCTGCCACATGGATTCCACAACATTGAATACTCGGGACAGCCTCTTTATATGGCTCTTGTTTTTAACTAGATTAGGTCAGTATTATCAAAGCACAAAGTTCAAGTTGATGAGTGAGGGTTTATTTTTGTTTTAAGGCGCAAAGTGTACCGACATACTTTTCAATTAAAGTACTTATATCTTATATGAGAATGATAAATATAATGATACATTCACTAATAGTTATAGAATCTAGAATATCTATTAGATGACTTAAAACGTGATGTAGAATAGAAAAGAAATATGGTTTTGGGGATGCTTATATAAAATTTCTCCTAAAAAGAACAAGAAAAACTATCTGAAGCACAAGCTTCATCAAAGCCTATGCCTCAGATCTGGAAGGCGGTACACCTAGACAACGCAGTATTTGAACATATTTTGTATTTTCAAAGAAAGACTTGCATTGCAAATAAAAGAAAAAAATAATGTAAATTTTATTAATATTGAAAGTTCACTGTTACATCTGGACTGAAAATAGAAAACCAATCGAATCAAAACAGAAATGATAACATGGGACAACTATCCCGAACCAATAAAGAAAAACACAATAGCTAAAATAAATGTTGTGGAAAAATACCAACCCTGAGAAGCTAAAATTAAGAGGCTTGCTTCCGTGGAGACGATCCTACTAGTTACTGAATAAAATCTGTTATGCAGAAATATCAAGAATGACTTTGATAAACTCAGTAAATAACAACTATCTATTAAAACATAAATGACAAGGGGAATAAGACATGCGTTATGGACAACAAGGAAGAAAACTAATGGCTTATGCAAGCAAGGAAATTAGGGGTACTAAGATTTTGGATAAATTTTGGGTTGGAGTTTAATGGCTTTAAATAGATAATTCTTTTTAAGAAAGGAATGCAGAACTCCAAGTCAAAGTTATGTTAGAAAACTAATTGAAGTTTTTTTATGAGTTATTGATTAAAGGCAAACATTCATGAATTTTTTAATCTTATCGCTCACAACAAGAAATCGCCTTCCTGCATTGGCCTTTCAACTTGGATATCTTGTTAAGAAGAGGAAGTTAAAGCCTTGAGTGGTTGTAAGGGGTGTGAGAAAATGTTGAGAAATTTAGAGGCTATACTTCCCTAGCTTGTTGAAGGGTGGACATTGTTGTGGAAAATAGTAGGAGAACTACAAACTTATCTGACGCGGGATGTCTTCCGCACGGGATTTTTCGCAATGGAAGCGGGATTTTGCTTCATGCCTGGACCAAATTGGTCCAGGTTATTTTGTGGATATGGAATCGATGGGTTCTACTGGGCCACTCATAGTAATCATATTATTGTCTATTTACTTTTCTGATATTTTTGATATTTTAAAGTTAGTTTTTTTGTGAGTTTGTTCGTGAAAACTATTGACGTCTCTAAGTTTTCTCTCCTAGGGTTTGTATCTATGGGCAAGTGGTGCTCTGATTGTACCTCATTCCAAGGTGTTGATTATCCTCGACTCTCTCATCCTATGCAACCTTTCCTCCGCTACCCCCATTATCGTATTTGCTACAACTATCGGAAAACCTCTTTTGTGTTTTTCTGCAATTGCCTACAACTCAAGCATCTATCTCCTTGTTGTTTCTTCCAGCCGCCTTCAACCCTACTGCCGCCCCCTTCTAGCCCCTACCACCTTGTTGTCGCCCCTTCTAGGCCTCTGCTGCCCTATCACAATAGTTACTGCAACCATTATCGCAGTCTTTGCTCCACCACCTACCATCCAACCAACCCCCAGCCTGCAGACTTTTGACCATCCAGTCCTCCATACCTATTACTTCCCGTAAACCGCAACACCACCACCCTTGATTTAAGCCTTAGTTTGAGTTGCGTTATGTCTTTTGTTATTTCTTATTTCCGAATGTTTTAGTGGTAATCTTTATTTGAGTTTAACAATAAAATTTATATTTCTCATTGTTGTTTATGTTAACTTCGGTATCATCATCCAAGCCTTAATAAGACGTTTTATACCAAGTTCACCAAAGACTACAACAAACACCATGCTTTTCCAAATAAAATTTTAATAAATAAAAATAATTTATTGACCTAAGAGAATGCTTATATAAAATTTCTCCTAAAAAGAACAAGAAAAAATATCTGAAGCACAAGCTTCATCAAAGCCTATGCCTCAGATCTGGAAGGCGGTACACCTAGACAACGCTGTATTTGAACATATTTTGTATTTTCAAAGAAAGACTTGCATTGCAAATAAAAGAAAAAAAATAATGTAAATTTTATTAATACTGAAAGTTCACTGTTACATATGGACTGAAAATAGAAAACCAATCGAATCAAAACAAAAATGACAACATGGGACAACTATCCCGAACCAATAAAGAAAACACAATAGCTAAAATAAATGTTGTGGAAAAATACCAACCCTGAGAAGCTAAAACTAAGAGGCTTGCTTCCGTGGAGACGATCCTACTAGTTACTGAATAAAATCTGTTATGCAGAAATATCAAGAATGACTTTGATAAACTCAGTAAATAACAACTATCTATTAAAACATAAATGACAAGGGGAATAAGACATGCGTTATGGACAACAAGGAAGAAAACTAATGGCTTATGCAAGCAAGGAAATTAGGGGTACTAAGATTTTGGATAAATTTTGGGTTGGAGTTTAATGGCTTTAAATAGATAATTCTTTTTAAGAAAGGAATGCAGAACTCCAAGTCAAAGTTATGTTAGAAAACTAATTGAAGTTTTTTTATGAGTTATTGATTAAAGGCAAACATTCATGAATTTTTTAATCTTATCGCTCACAACAAGAAATCGCCTTCCTGCATTGGCCTTTCAACTTGGATATCTTGTTAAGAAGAGGAAGTTAAAGCCTTGAGTGTTTGTAAGGGCTGTGAGAAGATGTTGAGAAATTTAGAGGCTATACTTCCCTAGCTTGTTGAAGGGTGGACATTGTTGTGGAAAATAGTAGGAGAACTACAAACTTATCTGACGCGGGATGTCTTCCGCACGGGATTTTTCGCAATGGAAGCGGGATTTTGCTTCATGCCTGGACCAAATTGGTCCAGGTTATTTTGTGGATATGGAATCGATGGGTTCTACTGGGCCACTCATAGTAATCATATTATTGTCTATTTACTTTTCTGATATTTTGGAATTAGTTTTTTTTTGTGAGTTTGTTCGGGAAAACTATTGACGTCTCTAAGTCATCTCTCCTAGGGTTGTATCTATGGGCAAGTGGTGCTCTCACTGTACCTCATTCCAGGGTGGTGATTATCCTCGACTCTCTCATCCTATGCAACATTTCCTCCGCTACCCCCATTATCGTATTTGCTACAACCATCGGAAAACCTCTTTTGTGTTTCTTCTACCACTCAAGCGCATATCTCCTTGTTGTTTCTTCCAGCCGCCTTCAACCCTACTGCCGCCCCCTTCTAGCCCCTACCACCTTGCTGTCGCCCCTTCTAGGCCTCTGCTGCCCTATCACAATAGTTACTGCAACCATTATCGCAGTCTTTGCTCCACCACCTACCATCCAACCAACCCCCAGCCTGCAGACTTTTGACCATCCAGTCCTCCATACCTATTACTTCCCGTAAACCGCAACACCACCACCCTTGATTTAAGCCTTAGTTTGAGTTGCGTTATGTCTTTTGTTATTTCTTATTTCCGAATGTTTTAGTGGTAATCTTTATTTGAGTTTAACAATAAAATTTATATTTCTCATTGTTGTTTATGTTAACTTCGGTATCATCATCCAAGCCTTAATAAGACGTTTTATACCAAGTTCACCAAAGACTACAACAAACACCATGCTTTTCCAAATAAAATTTTAATAAATAAAAATAATTTATTGACCTAAGAGAATGCTTATATAAAATTTCTCCTAAAAAGAACAAGAAAAAATATCTGAAGCACAAGCTTCATCAAAGCCTATGCCTCAGATCTGGAAGGCGGTACACCTAGACAACGCTGTATTTGAACATATTTTGTATTTTCAAAGAAAGACTTGCATTGCAAATAAAAGAAAAAAAATAATGTAAATTTTATTAATACTGAAAGTTCACTGTTACATATGGACTGAAAATAGAAAACCAATCGAATCAAAACAAAAATGACAACATGGGACAACTATCCCGAACCAATAAAGAAAACACAATAGCTAAAATAAATGTTGTGGAAAAATACCAACCCTGAGAAGCTAAAACTAAGAGGCTTGCTTCCGTGGAGACGATCCTACTAGTTACTGAATAGAATCTGTTATGCAAAAATATCAAGAATGAGTTTGATAAACTCAGTAAATAACAACTATCTATTAAAACATAAATGACAAGGGGAATAAGACATGCGTTATGGACAACAAGGAAGAAAACTAATGGCTTATGCAAGCGAGGAAATTAGGGGTGCTAAGATTTTGGATAAATTTTGGGTTGGAGTTTAATGGCTTTAAATAGATAATTCTTTTTAAGAAAGGAATGCGGAACTCCAAGTCGAAGTTATGTTAGAAAACTAATTGAAGTTTTTTATGAGTTATTGATTAAAGGCAAAGAATCATGAATTTTTTAATCTTATCGCTCACAACAAGAAATTGCCTTCCTGCATTGGCCTTTCAACTTGGATATCTTGTTAAGAAGAGGAAGTTAAAGCCTTGAGTGTTTGTAAGGGCTGTGAGAAGATGTTGAGAAATTTAGAGGCTATACTTCCCTAGCTTGTTGAAGGGTGGACATTGTTGTGGAAAATAGTAGGAGAACTACAAACTTATCTGACGCGGGATGTCTTCCGCACGGGATTTTTCGCAATGGAAGCGGGATTTTGCTTCATGCCTGGACCAAATTGGTCCAGGTTATTTTGTGGATATGGAATCGATGGGTTCTATTGGGCCACTCATAGTAATCATATTATTGTCTATTTACTTTTCTGATATTTTAGAGTTAGTTTTTTTTGTGAGTTTGTTCGGGAAAACTATTGAAGTCTCTAAGTTTTCTCTCCTAGGGTTGTATCTATGGGCAATTGGTGCTCTGACTGTACCTCATTCCTGATTATCCTCGACTCTCTCATCCTATGCAACCTTTCTTCCGCTACCCCCATTGTCGTATTTGCTACAACCATCAGAAAACCTCTTTTGTGTTTTCCTGCAATTACCCACCACTCAAGCGCATATCTCCTTGTTGTTTCTTCCGGCCGCCTTCAACCCTATTGCCGCCCCCTTCTAGCCCCTACCACCTTGCTGCCGCCCCTTCTAGGCCTCTGCTGCCCTATAACAATAGTTACTGCAACCATTGTCACAGTCTTTGCTCCACCACCTACCATCCAACCAACCCCCAGCCTGCGGACTTTTGACCACCCCATCCTCCATACCTATTTCCTCCCCTTAAACCGCAACACAACCACCCTTGATTTAAGCCTTAGTTTGAGTTGCGTTATGTTTTTTTGTCATTTCTTATTTCCGAGTGTTTTAGTGGTAATCTTTATTTGAGTTTAGCAATAAAATTTGTATTTGAGTTTAGCAATAAAATTTGTATTTCTCATTGTTGTTTCTGTTAACTTCGGTATCATCATCCAAGCCTTAATAAGACGTTTTCTACCAAGTTCACCAAAGACTACAACAAACACCAAGCTTTTTCATATAAAATTTCAATAAATAAAAATAATTTTATTCAATAATTTTCAAGTGTCCAAAGCATGCAATGTCTATAGGCATTTTGAAGCTTATGGATGTCTATGGCTTTGCTTAAAGCCCTTTGAGTCATTAAACCATTACTAGTATTAATGACATGTCATAAAGCCAAGGAAATGAACATAACACAATAAATTATAATAAAAATGCTTCCTTAAGGAAAAGAATTTGACCAAGCCAAGATTGATAGTTGAAATGGTTTTGAGATCATGCAATTTTCTAGTATTTTTTCTTTCTTGCATTATTTAGCTAACCCTATCATCATGGGGCTCGATTTTAAGCTTTCTAGATTTCCTCATGGAATTGGAGGGAAGAGGGTTCAATCATCCATTTGCTTGTGGAGTTATGTATGATGATGGACCCAAACCTTGATATAGTATACCTTAGTTTGTGATCTTGTTCTTGGCCTTTATGTTGATGCTAAATCAAACTATAGTAGCAATTTTCCAATTAAAATTCATGGAGTAATAAGTTAAGAGTGCACAAAATATATATCAATGATTCTATCTTCGATCATTTTGGAGGATAGTGAAGGATGGTTTGCACAAGTTAAGAAGATAAAAATTTTAACTTTATATTATTTCTTCAAAAAATACCCCCATCTTATGTAACATGGTTAACTTTGGCATGATCAAGGGATGATTTAGGATCAAGTAATTCATATGATTTGGTATTAAGGTGTGTGCATTATTTAGTCAAAATTTAAATACCATCATCTTATTCTATTCGGTTTTAAGAAATAAATTTTTATCACCCCATGTAATATCAAAGAATGAATGAAATACAAAATTCTCACAACTCCTCTCTCTTTGTTGGAGGTTAAAATTATTAATGATGATAAATGATGAAATCTGTTTCTTTTGGTAAGCCCAAGTCTTGACTGACAAATCTTCTGTACATGCAGAATGGTGCAAGCCATGCTATATTATCCGATCGCTTTTTGCATGAGGTCGCTTTTAGGCTTTGGAAGGCACCCAAGTATGGAGCTTAACGGTAACTTTTTTAAATATAATAAGCAGGTTTAGGCCTCATCTGAAACAGTTTTTATGGGTTGTAATACTTTTATTACATTCTTTTAAACGAAACTCCATTTATTTTGCATATCCAACCCCAATGCTTCTTAGCAAAAGCTTTTGAGATACAATTGAAATTAAGATTGTTGTGTTTAGACATCGTCATAAGAACTGACATGATGTTCAATTTGGAGATGATTTGATTGTATATTATTTTCATAAAAAGTAATAAATTTAGCCATCTAATTATTTATTAGAACTTGATGGAGTTGGTAATGTAAAAATTTATTTGTGTAAACAAGGTGTTTTGGATCTAGTATTGATTTTTGGAGCATTTAACATATGTACTACTTAATTTTTATCTATTTACATATATAGTACTTTATCTTTTATATTTATACCACAGAAATATTTCATATAAAAATAAAAAAAATATCACTATATGAAATACATCTTTTCCTACATAGGAAAGGTGGGATATATGAAATCTTGATGTTAAATATGTAAATATTTAGGAAGTTAATGGTATGTTTGCAAATCTTCTTAGACTTTTTTGGCCCCCATAAACACTAACCAAGCAAATAAAATAAAATACATAAGGCCTTTATATATATATATATATATATATATATATCAAGTCTTTCACGTCGTTAAATTCAAAGTAATGAAACCAAATTTATTGAAGTCATTTCAAACCTAATGAAATCAAATCGTAATATAAGTTTGAATTTTTCTTAATTTAGAAGTCATTATAGAAAGACTTCAATTGGGCACTCCTCGGTCAACGAATGGTAAGTTGACTATTGACTATGCGGCTTTACTCCTCCTTTTGAAAAGTATTAATAAATATCTAACACAATTAAAGGGCCAAATGAATCTTCATTTTGATGGACAACTTTTATTGAGCTATATCATGTAATTCATTTCATTTCCTCAAATGTAACCTTTTTATAGGGTTATACCTCAACTCTTACTTTCAAATAAGAGGTCATAGGAAAGTCCTATGACAATATTAGTTGTATTTTATTGTTTCTTGTAATAAGAAATTACAAAGCATCTCTATGAACTCTTCTTTTATTTCTCCATTATACTTGATCTTATATCTCAATCAATTTTGTTAGTAAGGTTGAGCTATTATTTATGAACAAATTTAAATTCAACATTCTTTATGATGGAGTTTGGAGTAGTGCTCAGAATTATTTGTCGTATATTGCAGATAAAAAAAGAGAAGAAGACATGAAGAATATGTTAATATAAATGATATATATATATATATATATATATATATCAAGTCTTAAACTTGCTTGCTAAGAAATCATTTTGTTTGTGAGGATGTGCAATGTTATATCATGCAATTCATCCTGTAATTTTTAAATTAATTATTATTTTTTTAATTTTTTGAGCATTTGATGGTAAAGAAAATTTTACTTCTCTATATAATGTTGTATGAATGAAAGGTTATGCAACCATGGATTTTCTTATTAAGCTTCACTTCAAGTGGTCTTGTTACATGGTTCTCATTTTATGCTTGTAATATGCTTTTGATGTATTATGTGAAATATATAACTGATGTCCTCATGGAATTATTCTTCACCTCATTTTTATGTAATATGCTTAATTTTATGATTGAATATTTCTATTATTGATATAAATATATTCTAGACTCTAGAAATGTATGCCAGATTTATTACCTATAATTTATGTGTTTAATCTAAATTTTAAGGACAGGTCTTTTATAAGTTGAGGAGAACGTCATTGTTTTATTCCTGCTTGTTTTACATGGTTCTCATTTTTGCATTATTGTAATGGGTTAAATATTTCATATTAATTTTGAAATTTTATTGAGCTGACCAAAATTACATTGACTCAAAATTAATTTCAAATTTAATGTGGGGCTCAAATATAATTTAATCAATTTTAAAAAACACCAATTTTCAAACGAATTTTTAGTTTCAACTTTTAAAATGTCTCAAATAGGTAAAAAATTTGCGTACGTAAGACGTACGCAGCGCTGCGTACATAATGGAGATTATATTCGCGTTATATTGACATTATATTCGCGTTGTATTCCCTGTAACTTCTATGTAACTTTCATGTAACTTACAGGTAAACTATAATATGTGAAAACAAAAATGCGAAACTTATTTGTAAGTTCTGTTAGGTTATAGGTAGGTTATATAGAGGCTATATCGAGATTATAGACGATATAACGCGGATATAATGCGGATAGAACTCGAATATAACCTCTCCAAATTTTTCTCTCAAATAGCCGTTGTATGAATTCGAAGTTTGCTTCGCCATATGGCCACATCATATCATGCTCTGTTACAAACCCAAACTTCTACGAAATATCATTGCTCTCGTCCCAGGATTCCACCTTCATTGCACTGCTTCCTCCTCCCTCTCCTGCCTCCCTCCAAATTCTGTCCATCTCCTTATCTCCACCGCGGTTCAAGACCATCATTCCGTCCTCCTCCATCACGGCGCAGCCATCACCTCCGGTCACTCATCCAACCCATTCCTGGCAGCGAAGCTCATCTCTCTATACGCCTCGCTTCATCGCCCAGACTTCGCTGTTGGCGTTTTCTCCTCATCCATTCCACAAAATCTGAAAGATAAATTCCTCTGGAACTCCATCATCAAAGCGCACTTCTCTAATGCTGACTACACCCTTTCTCTTCTTTTCTTTCGTCAAATGCTCGCAGCTGGCGTGCCTCCTGATCAATTCACATTCCCCATGGTCTTCTCAGCTTCTGCGGAGCTTCGCTTGCTTTATATAGGGTCGTGCATGCATGGAATTTGTATTCAAAATGGGCTTTTGGTTGGTAAATCTGGTGCTGTTGGATCCTCTTTGATATTCATGTACTCAAAATGCGGGATTATTGGGGATGCCTTTAAGGCGTTCGATGAAATTTCTGAAAGAGATGTGGTTGCTTGGACAGCGCTAATCATAGGTTGTGTGAGGAATGGGGACAGTGAACTTGGTTTAATTTGTCTTTCGGAGATGCATCGTCTAGGCAAATATGAGGGGGCATCGCCCAATTCTCGTACGTTGGACGGTGGACTGCAGGCCTGCGCTAATCTTGGGGCATTGATTGGGGGAAAGTGTCTTCATGGGTTTCTATTAAAAACTGGATCTGGTTGCTTGTCTTCAGTGAGATCATCCCTGCTTTCCATGTATGCCAAGTGTGAAAGCTTTGAAGAAACTGTCCTTGCATTTGAGGAATTGCCTGAAAGAGATACTGTTTCATGGACTGAGGTTTTGTCTGTTTATGCTAAAAAAGGCCTTTTTATTGAGTGCTTGAAGCTTTTCCAAGGGATGATAGATTCAAAGATTGAACTTGATGGTGTTTCGTTGAGTTGCATGCTTCTGGGATTCGCCAATAGTTGCTGTGTTCATGGAGGGAAGGCCTTCCACGCAATTATCCTGAGAAAAAATTTTGGATTCAGTGAACCAGTAGTTTGTTCCTTACTGATGATGTACTGTAAGCTTGGGCAACTGGGTACAGCAGAAACTTGTTTTAGTTTCATGGGCCGGCAGAGTGCAGAAACCTGGAATTTAATGATTGGCGAGTATGAGAAGATTGGTTTGGACATAAAATGTTTGGATTTGTTTAGAGAAATGCAGTTTTATGGCCTAGGAGTTAATATTAATCAAAATACAGTGGTACATCTTTTGTCTTCGTGTTCAAAATTAAATGCATTCCGGTTAGGCCAGTCCCTCCATTGCTACACAATAAAGAACTCCCTTAATAAGGAGGACTACATTTCCAATTCATTGATTTGTTTATATGGTAGATGTGGAAAGCTAATCCTTTCAAAGAGGGTATTTCAAAGGTCAGAGAGAAATATTGTCAGCTATAATGCTCTCATCTCAGCTTATTATCATCTCGGTCATTCTGGTGATGCATTAAACCTTTTTAATCAAATGATTTTCGAAGGAATGAAACCAAATTCTTCAACATTATTAAGTGTTATTTCAGCGTGCTCGGATGTGGCTGCTCTTGATTTCGGAAAACGGATTCATGGTTTCATAAGAGAAATGGGTTTGGAGTGTGAGGTCTCTATTTGCACAGCCTTGCTTGACATGTATGCAAAGTGTGGACATCTCGAAACTTCAAGGGCTCTCTTCGACTCCATGCCCGAAAGGGACGTCATTTCATGGAATGCGATGATTTCGGCTTATGGCATCCATGGGGATGCTGAGAAAGCATTAGAGGTTTTCAGAGAAATGGAGAGTTCTGGTATAAAACCAAATAGAGTCACCTTCCTCGCAGCTCTTTGGGCTTGCAGCCATGTCGGATTTGTTGAAGAGGCGAGGAGACTTTTTCTCAGAATGAAAGATTATGGCTTTACTCCAAATTTGAAGCACTATGCTTGTATGATTGATGTCCTTGCCCGATCTGGTAATCTCTTGGAGGCTGAAGCTATGATTCTCTCCATGCCTGTTCAGCCTGATGGAGGAATCTGGGGGGCCTTGCTTGGTGCTTGTTACAGTCACAGTAATGTTGAGATGGGAGAATATGTTGGACATAGAGCACTCGAATGTGATCCAGAAAATGATGGGTTTTACATTCTTGTATCTAATATTTTGGGAAGAAATGGAAGATGGGAAAGATGAAGAATAGTGGTGTTAGTACGAGAGCTGGTTGGAGCTCTGTAGAGCTTGGTGGGAGCATTCATGTTTTTACTGTTGGTGCTTTGTCGCAGCTACAGTCTAAGGATGTTATGGTGGCTATAGAGACTTTTCATAGGCACTTGGAGGGACGCTCTATACAGTATGCAGTAGAAGAATATGCTTCAATCTTGTGAAATAGTAAGAAATCTTGTAATTGCTATTGTATTTTTATTTTCTTTTTTTTATTAATAGATTTTTTTGGTTAGAAGGTGATATATTTCCTTGTTAAGGTAAGATTGTGTAAACCAAAATTACTCTTCTAAAAAGTTTGTAGTTATTTTATTCTTAAGAGTTCTTTTGCATTAAAAGCTTCTCGGAGGCCCAATAATCTTGTATATGAAGAGGATAGACTATGAAAGTGGAGTTTTAATGTCTCTTTCAATATTCTCTTGCCACGAAGTTACTTGTGAAAAATAGGAGTTTAAACTTCGAGATCAAGCAGACTAAAAAGCAAACTTCTTGCTGATATATGCAATATCAATTTCTTTGGACTTCTGTTTTCTTGAATGAAGTGATAATCCATTTCGATGTGTTTGGTTCTGGCATAAAAAATAGGAGTGTCTGCTATAATCATGGCAGGAATATCATAATGAATGAGATTTAGTGATGAGAAGAGAATTTGAAAGTTCATGTAAGAGGCGATAAAACCAAATGCCATGTGTGGCTCCAATGGCAATTTAACAGCTGAAACTCCCACTTTGGCCAAATGAAATAATGATTTTATCCCGTTTGTGTAACTTCCTAGGAGGACACCCATCCTAGAAGTGCTCTCGCATGAGCACGCTTAACTTTAGAGTTTATATCAGACTTTTACCGTAACATTGAAAGGCGCTTCAATGTTTATGAGTTCAACTTCATTCTACTTGAGGGTTTTCACAATCTCCCCCACATAAGATATCTGACATTCTCATCAGTTCTCATAACTCATAATCATTCATGTTATGGTATGACTCATATACCATATAGGGGTCAGTTCTCGTTCTCATAACTCATAATTATTCATGTTATGGTATGACTCATATACCATATAGGGATAGACGCTGGATCGAAGCGGAGCGGAACGAAAAAATCTGTCCGGAACGGAAGAATCTGTCCAAATTGGAAAGTTACGTGGGTTGGGGTGCAGGGGCAAAGCCCTGCGGTATGGTACAGGGGTAATGTTGTAATTATATGTTATGCCTAGGTTTACTCCTGAGGTTATAAATAGGTCTGTTAGTAACCCCAGGAGGTATCCTCTATTCTATAACATATTTTCTGAATATTGAAAGAAACTCGCTGCTCTGCTCCTGATGACATAGACATCTTTGTCGAACCTCGTTAAATCTCTGTGTTCTTCTAGATTTGTGTCGTTCCTATTTTTTTCGCCCTAATTTTCTCAACAAGTGATATCAGAGATAAGTTCGAGGGGAAAAAAATTTTTTCGGCGGCACAAGAATAAAGAAGATTTGAAGAAAATTTTTTTCGGCGGCAGGAACGGCAAAAGTTCTGCCAGAGCTTCTGTCGGAGTTCCACCAAACAGGCGAGATCTGCGAACTTCGAGCGGCAGATCTTGTACGACGCAGGCGGAGGTTTTCGAGCGAAGTGGTTTTGGATCGGGGCTCTTTCGCAACGCAGGAGGAAGGCAATTTCGGGCACGCAAACCAGAGGGCTTCTTCGGCGACGACCGGAAGGCTCTGGTCCGGCGAGTTCGTAAAGATCAAAAGGCTCGGGCGGTTTGCGGGAGACGCGATCGGACAGAAAAGGAAAGGAGCGGAGGCAATTTTTGGAACTTTCTATTGGTGACTGGCTTGCGGACCTTTGAAGGAAGGAATCAAGGAATCTTTGATTTCCCGGAGACAGAGGAGATATTCTTTGATAGGTTGCAGAAGGAAAGCTTTAATCAAGCTTCGCTGGAAGGAATTGATTGCTGGAGGTTTTTCCCTTGGCCCGCGGAAAGGAAGAAAAAATAAAAGGAAAGCTTTTTAATTAAATTGATTTAAATCAAATTAAACAAATTTAATCAAGGGTTTCCTTTGATGGATAAAGAGAGGAAATAAATGAAATATTTATTTCTTTTTCTTGGAGGTGGAGAGGAAATTTTTTGCTAAATTTTTTCAAATTTTTTTCTTTCCTCTTTTAAGAAAAAAAAAGTTCTAAGCAAAGATTTTTGTAGAGAAATTTTTTGCAGTTTCGTTGCAGGTTTAATTTTCAGATGGCATTTTCTGGTGCGAAATTTGAGATGGTGAAGTTTGACGGAACTGATAACTTCAGATTGTGGCAAATCAGGGTAAAAGATCTGTTGGCGCAACAAGGAACCTTGAAGGCCTTGAGGGCAATGAAACCAGATGCCATGGATGATGAAGATTGGGAAGAATTGCAATAACGAGCGGCAGCCACTATACGCCTATGTCTGGCAGATGAAGTTATGTATCACGTGATGAATTTGAAATCTTCAGGAGAGATTTGGAAGAAATTGAAAACTCAATTTATGTCAAAATCTATGACGAACAAATTGTATCTGAAGCAAAAGTTGTATGGGTTGACGATGCAAGAAAGATCTGATCTGGTGCAGCATGTCAATGGCTTCAATCAAATAATCACATACCTGTCACGACTTGATGTGAGTATTGAGGATGAATGTTGAGCGATGATTTTGTTGTGTTCGTTGCCCTCTTCCTATGAACACCTGGTGACTACTCTGACAAATGGGAAAGAGACTATCAAGGTTGATGAGATTACTACAGCGTTGTTGGCTCACAACCAACGGAAGCAGAATATAGGGGAAAACTCTCACGGCGACAGTTTATATGTTGAGGGTAAGCAAGATCAGGGAAGAAAGAAAGAGAAGGAGCGTTCTGGAAGGCAAAATTTCAGATTCAAGTCCAAAGGCAAAAAGACAATTCATTGCTACAGTTGTAAGGAGCCAGGTCATATGAAGAGAGATTGTCCAAAGCTGAAGAAGTAGAATGGGGAGAAATGTGATACTTCATCGAACTCTGTAAATGTGGTGCAGAATGATAATTCAGATTGCAGTGATGGCGATATGCTCTCAGTTTCATCAACTCAGATCACGGATGCAGATTCGCATGGATTCTTGATTCAGGGTGTTCTTATCACATAACACCTAATAGAGAGTGGTTTACTTAATACAGGTTAACTAATTTTGGCTCGGTCTATTTGGGTGATGATAGATGCTGCAATATTACTTGTATTGGAGAAGTCAGAATTCAGATGTATGATGGCACAGTTAGAACGTTATGTGATGTCAGACATATTCTAGATTTGAAGAAGAATCTGATTTCTTTGGGCACTCTACACAGAAATGGATTTATTTCTAAGGCAGATGAGGATCGGGAAACCATCAGAATTGTTAAGGGGGCACTGACTGTGATTAAAGAAAAGCTAACTGCGGTAATATCTATAAACTGTTGGGGAGTGCAATTGTAGGTGGAGTTCATTCTGTGGAGTCAGATGATGATAATACAAAGTTATGACATATGCGTCTGGGTCATCTTAGTGAACGTAGATGGTGGAATTGCATAGAAGAAACCTATTACATGGTGTTAAAAGCAGTAAACTCGATATTTTTAAGTTTTATGTTCTTGGAAAACAGACTTGAGTCAGTAGAGTAGAGTCAGTTTTATGACTGGAAAGCATAAAACTGAAGGAATTCTTGATTATGTGCATTCTGGTGTATGGGTATGGGGCCCTACTAGGGAGTTGTCATTGGGAGTATCTCAGTACTACGTTACCTTTATTGATGATTTCTCCATGAAAGTTGATTTCTTCAGGAAAGTTTGGGTGTATTTTTTTAAGCAGAAATCCGAAGTCTTCTCTAAATTCAAGCTGTGGAAAGCTGAGGTGGAGAACCAAACTGGCAGAAGATCAAGTATTTAAGGTCTGATAATGGCACAAAGTACACAGATTTGCAGTTTCAGAAGTTCTGTGAGGAGCATGGGATTCAGAGGTATTTTTCAGTGCTGAAGACACCACAACAGAATGGTGTGGCAGAAAGAATGAACAAGTCCTTAACTGAAAGGGCAAAGTGCTTGAGAGTGAATGCAGGGCTTCTTAAGAGTTTCTAGGCAGAGGCTGTAAATATGACATGTTATCTCATCAATAGATCAATCCGAGCATCATTGGATGGCAAGGTCGCACAAGAGGTATGGACAGGTAATTCAGTTAAATTTGATCATTTACGGATTTTTGGAAGTTCTGCTTATATGCATGTACCTGGAGATGAAAGATCAAAACTTGATGCAAAATCCAAGAAATGCATTTTTCTGGGCTATAAGAAAGGTGTGAAAGGATACAAGTTTTGGGATCCGATTGCAAAGAAGATGGTGATCAGCAGAGATGCAGTTTTTGATGAGCAGTTTATGTTACAGCAGAATCAAGACAATGTGTCAAAGAAGAATTACGTTACAGATGCAGTGCAGATAAATTTAGAACAGCAGCCAGTAACTTCTGAGAGAGATGAAAGTTCAAATCCAACCCCAGCAGCTTCTTAGAGAGGTGAAAGTTCAAATCCAACAACTGGTGATTCTATTCCAGATGATCTGCAGAATTATAATCTAGCCAGATAGACAGAGACGCACCAATGTAAGGCCTCATAGCAGATTGAGTTATGAAGACTTAGTCTCATGTGCACTTCTCATCAGCAGCGATGATCCAACCGCTTTTCAAGGAGCTATCACTAGCCAAGAGAAAGAGAAATGGATGGGTGCAATGGTTGAGGAGATGGAGTTTTTGCGGAAAATTACACTTGGGAGCTAGTTCATTTTTCTGAGGGAAAGAAGGCTATTGGTGGCAAGTGCGTGTAAAAAAAACCAGCAGTATCAGAAAAAGAAGGGGAAATGTTCAAGGCTCGACTGGTAGTGAAGTGATTTTCACAGTAGAAGGGGATATATTATGATGAAATCTTTTTCCTGTGGTCATACATACTTCAATCAGGGCAGTATTTG